AAATATCACCAAAATATCTCTGTCTGTCTCTCTCTCTCTCTCTCTCATATGTGTACAGTGGAAGTTGAATAACTATTTGGTCCGTTTGGTTTATGAAAAAATAGACTTCATAATGAGAAATCAATTCATTTCTCATGTTTGGTAAGTCCATGTAGGGGAAATCATTGCTTGACTCATAGGAAAGTAAGGTCATCTCCAGTCATAGGGCTAAATGTAATCCATGGCTACAAATTTAGCCCTTCAAAATATTAATTTTTTAAAGAATAGTGTAAGGCTAAATTTTTCCATCTTCATCCGTGCATGTCTATATTTTAGGGTCCTTCATATTTTATTATTTTGAGAAAAATTATGATACAATTTTTAAACAAAATGAATTTAAAACATTTAAAAAGGATTTAAATAAAAAATAACTTTTCAATCAATGGTTCTAAACCTCCAATAATCAGAAACCAATTATATATATATATATATATATTAAACAAAATGAATTTAAGAATATTTTTAAAGGTTATTAAAAATAAAATAAAAAACCTAACGGCTAACTAACATCATTGATGACGTCAACGCGCCTTTAATATTGGCGATTGGATCTGCAGTTACACAAGATGTTTCGAGCTCTTTCCCACACGTGATACTTTTTCTTCTTGGAAAGCACATGAGCTGGGCCCACACAAAAATTTGCCATAGGCCAAAGCTAGGCTACATTTGGCCTAGTTGGAGGGCTAAAGGGCCAAATGTGGCCCTCCAAATTTGGCTAAAAAAATTTTTAGCCCATGATTAGAGATGGATTTTGCATTATTATAGGGCTATATTTGGCCTCTGGCTAGCCCTATGACCCATGGGCCAGAGATAGCCTAAGGGGGAAAGTGAAGCCCTCCTCCTAACTTGGGTTTTGTTTTCCCTCCTTATGGAAAAGTTTGGGAAAATGAGCAAACATTAAATACACATTTTTCATGATAATTTTGTCCCCATTAACAATTTAGAATTACAATATATCATTAAATGCATTCTTTTTTTTATTTAATTTAATATGGATATAATTGAAAAATTATATAAACTTTGTTTTTCATTCCTACTCAAAACTAGGAAATAAAGTGATATCTTCCGGTTACTTTCTCAACACTACCAACTGTGGGAAAATAATATTCTATTTCCAATCATTTAGGAAATGACATTGGTAGTGATTTCCCCTCAAATCCGTTACGTGAACCAAACGGGGCCTATATGAATAACGCAACAGTGCATAACATATCGCTCTTTTGAGCTTGTTTCTGTTACGTGGGTTTTGTTACTCTTTGTGCATGGGCCTTATGTGAATATTTGGGGGCTTTAGGCTTAATTTGTAAGCAAGTGATGGGCTTGCGCTAATGTTATCAGACATTATGAACTTTAGCGTTGGCCTCAATTTCCCCGTGTGAAGTGTCAATTTGTCATTAAACCCGCATCTCCTTAGTTATGGATATGCACAACCAAGCACAGCTGTTGGGATGTGGATTCAAGCTAATGAGCGCTAACGTGATGAATACTGAACACGTATCACCAAACAATACTAACATCTAACTACAATCAACTATATAGCATGATTACTACGAATATGGATTGGAATGATTAGTTTAAGCATTTTTACTATGTTGTATATTGGAATGATTCAAATTTCTACTTGTTCTGTGTGTTATTTACACATGTGTATTATAATGATTTAAATTCATGAAATAAAAAATTATGTGAGTTACACGTTAAAATTCGTAATTAAATACCTTCAAAATCAAGAATTTGATCAATTAGATGCGCAATTGATTCAATTCTAATTTTTTGATTCCTCTATTTAAGTTTCTTGATTCATAACTTCTCCCATTTATGAAATATACAAATATTGACCACTTATATTGTTTGTACCATATCTGACCCTCCACTCGTACAACGACACGTGGATCTCATAAACTCGCCCAAGCACCCAAGGCCTCGGACAATCGGCATAGGCTACTGATGATATTGTCTCAAAGCAGCAAAAGATCATTACAGGGCCCAACACAGCCTACAATCGGTATCCCCTACCGATTCTGCAGAATCAACCTCGAAGCACCCGCCTGAAATATCTAAGGACTCGTGTCAACCTCATAGGGCCCTCCCACGAGTCCCACATCGAAAATGAGCGCTAAGAGCATACTAAATGCCCTCTATAAGTATGCCCCTCCCACTACAATACAGGGGTAAGACTTTTCAGCTTGACTTTTATACTTCTATATGGTCAACAGCAAGAGCTCTTAAAAACAATCTTACTTGAGCATCGGAGGGTCTTAGGCTGGTTCCACACCGGTTCCATAGACCTCACGAGCTTCGCTTATCTTCTATTCAGGATCAGCATCCAAGGACAGGAAGAATCGGCATCCAACTCCCAATCGATCTCTTGATCGTCCATCCCACTTGTAAGTTGCACTCATCTCTATCTATTCAAGATTTAGTGCCAACATAATTCAACTAATTAGGCATCGTTTGTGAGTGATTTTGGAGATGCCAATAATAATTTTTATGGAAAATCACTTCTCCAAATAATCATTTTAACTGATTTTAATTAATTTTATGAAGAAACATATGAAATGTGCTTATCCCTAGAATCACTAGAGTGATTATATAGAGAAGTACGTGGAAGTTGTTTCTTTCCAAAAGTTATTCTAATATATACATAATCACTCCCAAACGAGTCCTTAATCTACTTGGATTATCCAATTTTTTTTTGTATATATAAAAAGACAAAGTAGGATATGAATGAAGATTGAAAATGGAGATACAAAATGTTTTCCACATACAAGGTGGTACCAAAATACAACTTTGGTCAAATGCTTTATATTTTTTTATATCATATAATGTTTCAAACTATTAATGCATACAAGATCAATGTTTAAAACCAATTTGAATTAAACTGTATTTTCATTGAGAAATTCATCTGTTAATCCAAAATGTCTTTTTTAAAAAAAAAAAAAAATTAAAAATTCATTGAAGCCGACCAAATTGAATGAATTGATCACTTTTTTAACATTTTAATTGATATATTCATACTCCACTCGTATTTTGTGCATATAGAAGTTCAAGAAGACACCCCTTTTTGGAGTGCATATGTAATATTGTGTATATTTTATTCATCTCTAGGAGGTGGCTAATATATAATCTTTGCATATTTAATGATTGGCCAATAATTAGTACGAAAAATGTTAATTTAATAACTAATAAAAGCATCTCGAACCGATATGTTAAATTATCACATGGACATAAAATGACAAAAATTTAAGGTTAAAGTTGCTCTACTATAATTTATTCTCTTTTAAAACTTTAAGCATCATATGAGCTCCGTTTGTTTTTTAAAATATAATAAAATAATATGATATTTGATATTTCGGGTTGAGTTAAATTTTTTCCAAATTGTCAAATTTGCACATAAGCCATCAAATTTGCTCTAATTAGCATTACACATGAAGGTTAAAACATAAAGATGCATCACACCTAGCTTGAAAAATATTGAGAGGTTCGGAGTCACCACTTTGGCTAGCACTTTACCCCTTACGGGCCGACTCGGTGTGAGCGGGGATTAGTCTGGATTGTGGTTAAGGCTTAAAGGTGCCACCCATAGTTGGGGCCCATCTAGGACCACCTCGTGGTTCAGACAAAAAAAAATAAAAATATTGAGAGGTTGTTATTATTATTATTATTATTTTAATGATTAAAAAGGAAAGATGATAGGATTTTTTGGATGTAGATAGGATGCTATTTGTAGTTATTATTTTATTCTTTAATCTTTAAATACATTATTAAAATTGTTTATACATATAAATAAGAATATAATCCATATATTTCTATATAATAAGGTAACAAAATAAGTTTTTTTTTAAATAAAATGAAAACCAATCGTAGACGCATTGGCAAAGTTGGTGTGCAACCAACAGGAGTTGGTCCAAGTGGAAGGGGCTTGGATCCTTTAAACAAGAGGTCCTGGGTTCGATCCCAGGCGCTTGCGAATAGAGCCGACTTTGTTGGGAGAGGTCCCTGCTTTGCGCCCGACAGTACCTCGAGGGTTAGTCCCCGCAATCGCGCGGGGATACCTTGGTTTTCACCAAAAAAAAAAAAAAAAAATTAAATACTTTAAAATAAAATAATATGACCTAAAAAATGAAGAAAAAACAAATTATTTTATAAACATAGGGGTGAGACCCACCCACCCCCTCCACCTCTGCCTCTCCCTTCTGCCCTCTCGCATATTCCCAATTTAGGTTCAAGTACCTTTAAAAAGTAGAATCATATGCAAATTGGCAACTCGTCCATCGTCCAATAATGTCCCACCACGTGTCAGCGTCAACATTCGGAGAACCAAAAGAATTGGCTGGTAAAATATAAGCGGCGAGGCGACCCCTACGCTTGAGGATTCGTGAAAAAGAGACGTTCCAAAAATCCTTCTTTCCTCTTCCGCTTTGTCCCTCGGCTCCGTCTGCACCCTTCCCAGGTAAGCAATCTGTCCTCCTAATCTTCTCTCCATTTTCTTTTCGTCATAGTTGGAGTTCCGTTTCTGTTTGGTCACCGAAAAACGGTAGGAAAAATAACAGAAAGTCTAGTTTTTAGCCTGAACAATCTGGTTTTAGATCTAAAGTTTCGTTCTTTGCATTACTTTATGTTTATATCATTACAAAGAAATCAACGAATTGCTGCTGAGCTGTTTTGAGATCTAGTCATAGTTAAGATGAATTGCTTTCGTTTTGTCCTGACTATGGCGGGCTATACAACCTTCGCCTGAAATCTAAAAGCTTTGCCTTCTCCTATCTCCGTTTCACAATTTTGGGCTTTGTAGGATCTCCAATTATGCTTTTTTACTGTAATGTGTTTTGCTTTGCGCATTAGTTTTTGTTCGTCTTATGTATTTTTTTTATGCATTAGCTTTTGTTCTGATAAAAGGGCATCTCGAGTCCTCCCTAAACTTTTCCTCCAATCAAGTTAAGCGTTTGTGATTCCCCTAACTCTTCCCAAATCAAAATTTGGGTTATGGAGGGAAATTAATTTTGGAGGGAACAATTAAGTAAAGGGATTTTCTTAGGATAATATAGGAATTTTCAAAAAGTTTTGCAGAAAAATTGAACTTTCCCAATGAAGTGATCCCAAGTCTTAACCAATGGACTTTCACTCAAATTTATACTTGGCTTTACATGTTCAAACTCGTTACCAGTGAAAGAGTTCTGCTTCACCTCATTTACATAATAACACAGGTTAAATTAACATCATAGTTGACTTTTGGATTCTTTTCTATGAATGTCTCTATTTCAGTTTGTTTCTTTTACTTAAATTTTGTTGTGAAGATCGTGATATCATACTAGAGAAGCATATTTGTTTCCGAGTTGTTTTTTGTCTCACAACACTAACTAATCCTTGTATTTGGTCTTGAACTCAGATCTGATAGCTTAATCTTCATGAATTCAAGAACTACTGAAGTATCCGTGTTTTCCTGTAAGTCGGGAAACAGAAACAACCCCTTCTTTATCTGGATTTTGTTCTGTTTATTGCCAAAATTCCAAGGAACTCCTTTTGCATTCGTGAGTTTCCTCTTGGTTAAGGCAATTGACAGGAGTCCTTCTGGAGCACTGGCCTTTGAGACTTTTGGGTAGATAAATCCATAGCAGGGATCAATTCCAGTATCTACCTGAAGTTAGCATCCCTGCTCCATACTTGAAAAATGGTTTCCTCTCAGCTACCTAGCTTGACCAAGGCCCGCATGTGCAAACCAATTCAGACACAGTTGCTTTTTCCTACGGTTACAATGGATGCTGTAGTTTCAGATCACGTGGAGCTTGATTTCGATGATGTTTTTGGCCCTCTACCAGTTCAGGCCTCTGTAGAAGTGAATTATGGTGATTCGGCTAATTCTGCCGCCGTCGAAGATGCCACTGAGCTTATTTATGATAATCCAGTGGTAATTCATAACCGATCACATTCTTTGGTTGGTCCCTCATCGTTTGTAAGCCAATCATTGAAGCTCAGCAAACTGACTATAAGTGACATGGAAGATTCAGTGGAACTGGTAGAGTGTGTCAATGGAGATACCATCAAAGAATTTCAAGAACCTTTAATTGATGATGGTGTCACTGAAAAGACTCTTGAAAATGATGAGGAAATCTCCATGAAGATCGAGAGTGTAGGCATTGAAGATTTTGAGGTTTTGAAGGTTGTTGGGCAGGGTGCATTTGCAAAAGTATACCAGGTGAGGAAGAAAGGGACATCAGAAATTTATGCAATGAAGGTCATGCGGAAGGACAAGATCATGGAGAAGAATCATGCTGAATACATGAAAGCTGAGAGGAATATTCTAACAAAAATTGATCATCCATTCATTATCCAGCTTAGATACTCATTTCAGGTAATTCCTGCCTGACCCTGGAAGTTAATTCCAATTTTCCTTTTCTGGTGTGGCTTTCTTTTTGAGTATTATGAGCATCCATGTCCCCAAAAAATGTCTTATGCAATTGGAACTTTATCTTCAAAAGATACTGTGGAGCAATATATTTCAACTCAATGTGCTGATTTGGTGACTTTCTTGATGATGACTAGAGTACTAACTTAATTTATTTTGTTATGCAGACCAAATATAGACTATATCTCGTGCTGGATTTTGTTAATGGTGGTCACCTTTTCTTTCAGCTCTATCACCAAGGTCTATTTAGGTACCTTTGGTTTCAACTTCCAATATTTTGTGTTATTTTCTGAGCTCAAATATTTAGACACTTAATACTTAAGTTTTTCTCCTTTCCAGAGAGGAGCTGGCTCGAATATATGCTGCTGAGATTGTTTCTGCGGTTTCTCACCTCCATGCAAATGGAATAATGCATAGGGATCTTAAACCTGAAAATATCCTATTGGACACAGATGGCCATGTACCTCTCCATCTCCCTCTGTTGAGTATTGTTCTGATTAATTGCTCCCAATGAATTGTAACTGACATCATGATCACTGATTTATTAAACAGGCCATGTTGACTGATTTTGGTCTAGCGAAGCAACTTGAAGAGAATACGAGATCTAATTCTATGTGTGGAACTGTTGAATACATGCCACCCGAAATAGTTCTTGGAAAGGGCCACAATAAGGCTGCAGACTGGTGGAGTGTGGGAGTCCTATTGTTTGAGATGCTAACTGGAAAGGTTTGTGATTTATTCATTTTGTTCGTGTAGATTGAGATGATATATAAATATACAGATGTGATTGAGAGCAAGAATTTCTTGATGGTTAAGTCAAATTCTAACTGAATGTGCAGTCAACAATCATTATATGCATATAATACATGTAGATATTAAAATTAGCATATTGGAAAGCCGGTGTTTGTTGAATTTAATATTGTTAGGAGGTGATCCGAGTGTTCTTTTTATGCTGTTGTAATATAGTCTGTATGCGCTTTTTTTGTTGGACATCTTCTTCTTCTTCTTCAGTAAAAAATATATATATTTCTTCTTTTCAAAAGAGAAAAGAGAAATAAATAAAAGTATTATCTGTTTTTTGATTAGGTGACTCACACACAGACATGCATTTAAAGAGAATTCCATAGTGTTTAAGGACCCTAGAAGTTGGAACATTTATTTATATCATGTAACGTGAAACATTTTTCTTTGCTCTTGCTTCTGCAGCCTCCTTTTACTGGGAACAGGGAGAAAATTCAGCAGAAGATAGTTAAGGAAAAGATCAAGTTGCCATCCTTTCTGTCCAGTGAAGCACATTCTCTGTTGAAAGGGGTATATAATCTTTGTGCTTGTTTTTATCTTGGGTAGTAGGAAATAGGCAATGTTGAACCTGAGTGTCTGTTTCGAGCCTTCCTCAGTTCATGTTTTTAGTTAACTATGAGAGAACTCACTTAACTTGGTTATGTTTTCAGCTGCTACAGAAGGATGCAAGCCACCGCCTTGGTAGTGGGCCTTTGGGGTGTGAGGAAATCAAACGCCACAAATGGTTTAAGCCAATAAATTGGAAAAGATTAGATGCTCGGGAAATCCAACCAAGCTTTCGTCCTCAAGTTTCTGGGAAGCAGTGCATTGCCAATTTCGATAAGTGCTGGACTGACATGTCAGTTGTGGATTCTCCAGCTGCTAGCCCGAATGCTGCTGGAAACCCCTTCACCGGCTTCAGTTATGTTAGGCCTGTGGCCTCTTTTCTTAAGAAGGATAGCCACATGTACTAGCATGTGTTGCCCCAAGATGCAAGTTTTCGAGCTCTGTTTTCCTTCTTGCATTCTTAATGATGAAACTCTGTAAGTTGCTTGAAAAAAGCAGTAGCCAAGAGAGGTTTATCTTAGCAGTGTTCTCTTGAGACTACACAATCTTAAAACCTTTGCAGATGCATATGCTGAACTCTGAAGCTTGTATGCCTTTTGCTGAAATAAGTATTAATATATCCACATTTTAATTTTAATTTGTGACAGATTTTGGTAATTTTCCCGTATGTAATGCTCTCTTGCTAATTCACATTTTAAATTAATTTTAGTTCCCTAAGGTATAAATAATAAATCTCATTTAAAGCAAAGGACTCACTAGTGCAGTGGTTCGGAGTATTTACTCCCTCAGGCAAGGTCCTGGGTTTGAGTTTTAGCATCCGTATAGTGTGTGTGAGTTCAGTATGCTATCGCCCCTCTCAATAGGAAAGGTCCTCCAATTAAAAAAAAAATCTCATTTAAAAACTTTATTTTTGGTTGAAAATCCGATTTAAAAACTTAGGAAAGTGCATTTGGGGAAGGGAAATTTCACATGTGGATAAAGCAAGGGACGCGTGTCAAAATGCCAGCCTTTGCTGACACTCCTGCTGGTTCTCTCCCACAAAACAAAAAGTTCATAGTTCACAACATAACCTCCATAACGACTACAACCATGGCTTATCTGCCCTCTCCAAGTCTAACAACACTTAAACACAATCCTAACCCTACATGCTTCTCTCCTTTAAAACCCACTTCACCTGACCATCTTTGCTTCTTCACAACCCAATTCAAAAGCCACCCTCATAGATGCAATGCATTCTTTGGTGACAATATCCCTGGAAATGTTTTGGAGACGACTCTCCATTTGGACCAATTTCCTCCTTTTCAATATGGTTACATGCAGTTTCAAACAGCTACAGAGGAACTCTCAGAAACACAGAAGTGGGGTTTCCTGATTTTTGCGGGGATTACATGGATATACTTAACTGCAAGACCAGGTATTCTCATAGGTGCCATTGATGCATACCTTCTTGCTCCTCTGCAATTGGGTTTGGATAGTTTGATTGGAAGGAGAAGGTTGAAGAGGACTGATTTTGTGATTGGGGACAAGTTGGGAGAAGGGTCTTTTGGAGTTGTTTATTCTGGTGCGGTTGTTCCAAAGAATGTTAATGTTGAAGAGACGGTGCAGAAAAGAGGGAGGGGTAGAGCTCCACAGTTGGATGAGAGGTTCAAGGAGAAGGTCATCCTCAAGAAGGTAGCACTGTAGATTTCGTGCATTTTGATTGACCCTTTACTTGTTTATCAGTGTTTCTGTGATGTGTAGAGAGATTAATCTGATCTTTTAGTTATGGAAATATGCAGGTGAAGATTGGAGTTCAAGGGGCTGAAGAATGTGGCGAATTCGAGGAGTGGTTCAATTACAGGTTGTCTAGAGCAGCACCTGAAACATGTGCTGCGTTCCTGGGAAGTTTTGTTGCTGATAAAACAAGTTCTCAATTTACAAAGGGTGGAAAGTGGCTTGTTTGGAAATTCGAGGTACTAAAACCATTTTAGGATCATTCATTCAAAAATCTAAAGCTTCAAATCCCACGTTTATGTTATATATGGTGTTTAAGAACTCAATGCTATAATTATATGTGTCTTTGACGCCTTCATCACACTAATTGTCGGGATGTTCATGTGACAGGGAAACCAAACTCTTGCCGATTACATGAAAGATAGGAAATTCCCTTTTAACTTGGAGTCTGTCATGTTCAGACGTGTCTTGCAAGATGTAGACTCTGTCAAACGCAGTGCATTGATCATCAAGCAAATAATGCGTCAAATTATTACTTCGCTCAAGAAAATCCATGACACAGGCATTGTTCACCGGGACGTAAAGCCAGCAAACTTAGTAGTGACAAGAAGGGGACAAATCAAGCTCATAGACTTTGGGGCAGCCACAGACCTCAGAATTGGAAAGAACTATGTACCAGACCGTACCCTGCTAGATCCTGACTTTTGTCCTCCTGAACTATATGTGCTCCCAGAGGAAACGCCAGTTCCTCCTCCAGAGCCCATTGCTGCATTTCTTTCTCCAATTGTTTGGCAGGTAATACAGTTTCAACCCTTTTATATGCGATGTCAAGCATATCAAAATTCCGCTGCTTTACTGGAGGTATATGGATATAGCATTATAATGACTGTTAGATCTGCATTCAGTTTCAGTTGGTAAAGTTAAAATGATGCCTGCATTGTTTAAATGTTCAAATTTGGATGAGAAAAAGCATGGGGATCAGATCATAAACTAATCTGTTTATAGGCCTTGTGAACTTGATTTACCTTGGGGGGTACTCTTATGCTTGAATTCTTGTTTTAAAGCATACAAAATTTGTTTGCTAGATGAATCAGACTTTGAAATTATTGTTGCAGCTGAACAGTCCTGACCTCTTTGATATGTACTCTGCTGGAATTATACTATTGCAAATGGCAGTACCATCCTTAAGGTCTTCAGCAGGGTTAAAGAATTTCAATTCAGAAATAAAAACAGTTAAGTATGACTTGAATAAATGGAGGGACTATACTCGGTTGAGGCCTGACTTGTCACTTCTTGATCTCGATTCGGGTAGAGGGTGGGATCTGGCCACAAAGCTTGTTTCAGAGAGAGGTTCCCTTAGAAGGGGGCGTTTATCAGCTGCAGCTGCTCTGAGGCATCCTTATTTCTTGTTAGCTGGTGACCAGGCAGCTGCAGTTCTTTCAAAATTAAGTTTTATCAAATAGTGAGCTGCTTCAAGATGTAAGTATATAATAAAGTTTGTTTCGTTGTCCAACCATAGAGAAGATTTTGCTCAAGTATTTTCTTTTGACTTGTGAGGAACTGTTAACTTTTTCTTTCCCTTTTCTTTTTTGTTATAGCATCTCAAGAATGGAGAGACTCACAAACATGCAAGCCTTTGCCTGCTAGTTCATGGTCTTTGCCATTTTTGCACCGGGTGACCTAGGGGGTTTGCTTCCAATTTAACAGGCCAGTGGACTGTGGATGCAATACAAGAGATTACCAATTTTATAAATGTTTTTCGTTGCCGATGATATTAATTTATAGCAGAGGAGGTTCGACCCCACTTTGTTAATAATTACTATTAATCTTGTAACAAAATCTTTTTTTTTGTGATCTACATTGGTTCATAAAAGGTTTACAAATATTACAAATCTTGCAAGTCCATTTCTTCTGCAGACTACTTTGGGTTGACAAAAATTTCAATTTGTAAGAGCTTTCAACATATTTAGCACGTGATCAATATTAGACTTTCCCGCCTAATCCTAACCAATTGCCCCATCATCAATCCGGCAACTAATTAATAACCCAATGACAACATGACACGTGGACCAATGAAAAAAACTTTACTTTTACCGACTTTTTTTTTTGTGAAAATTTTTATCGACTTTACCAGCCGTATAGCATTCAGAGAATCGAAAAAACACTTGTAGAGGAGAAAATCGAAAAACACTGGTAAATGAGAAAATCTAAGAACTCTCCAAGGAAAAACTTCATACTTCCAACAAATATATGAAACTAATACTCAATTCTAATGTCAGACTTTGATTATATTGGCTCTAAATAGCTGGCACATCAACCACCTTTATTTTACTTTGGGCTCTTAACTTTCCGTCCAACACGTGTAAGGTCATCTTTAACACTAAGAGTATCTCCAAGGGAGATGTCAAATACCAAACATCACATTTAAATTTGATGGCTGATGTGGCAATTTGACATCTTACACAACTTTACACTCCACTCGATAGGTCAAATTAAATTATTGTTTTATTACATTTTAGTGTTGATTTATTTTTAATTAAAAAGAAAATAAAAGAAAATATAAAATAAAAAAAATATTCATTTGACATCTTGCTTTTGGGATGTCAAAAATAACATCTCAACCTCTCGCTTTCATTCCACATCAGCTTTGACACATCGGTTGGAGTGATGTGAGATGTTATTTTTAGCCGTTAAATGTCTATATGGCACTTTTGACACATCGATTGGAGATGCTCTAACAAAATCTTATACCCAACGTCTCATATTTGACTCCAAAATCCTGGTTGTATTAGGATTCCAAGTTAATAAAGAAGTGGATTTCTTTCCTAATCCTTTTTGGTTTGTATTTCTTTTCTTTCCTATTCAAACACCACCTCTATGTATATATATATATATATATATATATATATATATATATATATATATATATATATATATATATATATATATATATATATATATATATATATATATATATATATATATATATATATATATATATATATATATATATATATATATATATATATATATATATATATATATATATATATATATATATATATATATATATATATATATATATATATATATATATATATATATATATATATATATATATATATATATATATATATATATATATATATATATATATATATATATATATATATATATATATATATATATATATATATATATATATATATATATATATATATATATATATATATATATATATATATATATATATATATATATATATATATATATATATATCTCTGAAATCCACTTTTCAATGCAAGTGTGTGTCCAAAAGTTGGTATGCTCTCATGTCTAGTCCATATTTTGTTCGCCTTCGACGTGAACAGCGTCGTGAAGACCAACGTATTCTGATTTTCTCCAATGATGCGAAGATTTTCTCGGACGATGATGGGGCAAAGACAAATTTCTTTTCAATAAACAAGCATCCGGTATTCAAAATATGCACCAAACGCAACTTCTCTTTGAGTTTCCTCCCTTGTTATGGTTCCACAGGAATAGAACCACTTGTAGTTGGGACCTATAATGACCTAGTTTGTTGCTGCGCAACTTGGCGCAATCAATGTCACTACTACATCTGCAATCCCTGTTAGTCAAGACATAAACAAGACATAGACAGCTTTCCTAAAACAAGGAAAAGCTTGTCTATCACATTTCCACTTTTCCATGTTTATAGAAACACCTTTCCATGTTTACATTTCCATGTTTTTTAGGGAAACACAAATCCTGGAAATAATCCTTGCTTTGTGATCTTGTTTGTAACTAATAGTTAGCTAGCTACATTTGTATAAATCTCCTCAAGATAGTAATACAAGCAGCTGATTGGAATTCTCTGCAAAACATATCATATCTCATATTCTCCACACTCTCAATTACACTATCTTTGGCATGGTATCAGAGCAATCGATTTTGGTTGCCTATGCATAACCTTGTTCTTCCCTAATCTCTACCTATCCTTGCCCATAATTTGCTGTTATATCATTCCTATCTCATACTTTGCCTTACCTTAAAATTGGTTGTGATCACAATCCTAATTTGTGCTCTTGTTTGCTGAAGTTCTAAGCTTGTTTGCTTAAACCTTGTCTCTACTTAACCTTGTCCCTGCATAATTCAAACTTGTGTTCCTTTGATTACTTGGTTCTGTTGTACCCCTGTTGTGTTCCAGAAAACTTCCGCTGCATTTACGTATCCATACTTTCACACAAGACCCACAACATGGCACCCAAGACTGCTTATGTCATGACTATCGGTGAGTCTCCATCTCCTGCCTTACTCTCCGACTCCAACCCCGACTCAGGTACACGCTCTACTACATGGATAATTGATACTGGTGCCACTGATCATATGACTTTTGACTCTACTGTTTTTTCCACCTTATTTCCTAAATCTCATTATCCTTACATCACTAGTGCCAATGGGGCTCCTTCTAATGTTGCTGGAGAAGGGACTATATCACTTTCCCCTAAATTGTCCTTACCTCATACACTACTTGTCCCCTCTATTAAATGCAATTTGTTGTCTGTTGGGAAATTCCTTGACTCACATAATTGTTATGCCACATTCTATCCTTCTCATTGTAAGTTTCAGGACCTTACGACTCACGAGACGATTGGGCATGGTAAACGGAGAGGGGGGTTGTATACCTTGACGGTCTCATCACCACCACGAGCTATCCATGTTCAAAACTCACGTGCTCAACAACAGATTTGGCTATGGCATCGTCGCTTAGGACATCCATCGTTTGGCTACCTTCGACGGTTGTTTCCATCTTTATTCCAAGGCTTAGTTGATTCTCAGTTTAAGTGTGAAACATATGTGTTGGCCAAGAGCCATCACACTGTATTTCCCTCAAGTGATAGTAAAACAGAATTTCCTTTTGAGTTGATTCACTCCGATGTTTGGGGCCCTGCTAAAGTCTCTTCTACTGTGCACTGTATTTTCCTCAAGTGATAGTAAAACAGAATTTCCTTTTGAGTTGATTCACTCCGATGTTTGGGGCCCTGCTAAAGTCTCTTCTACTGGCAAGAGGTGGTTTGCTACATTTATAGATGACTGCACCCGCATGACATGGGTGTACTTGCTCACCCATAAAAGTGATGTTACTACCACAATCCGTGAATTCCATGCTATGATCACCACTCAGTTCCAAGCATCCATCAAAGTGTTCCGGTCCGACAATGGTGGGGAGTATGTAAATGGTGCCTTGGCTCAATTCTTCAAGGACCAAGGCATCATCCATCAAACCTCCACACCCTTCACTCCACAACAAAATGGTGTCGCCGAACGAAAGAATCGCCAATTACTTGAAGTTGCCCGTGCCTATATGCTTGATAAATCTGTTCCTCATCACTTATGGGGTCATGCTCTTCTCTCTGCAGTCTATGTGATTAATCGGGT